ATATCTTTCGAAAGAAGTGAGATATGTAGGCTCAAAGTGGACAGTCCGGGTGGCGTTCTATTAGAGTGTTTACGAAAAAGTGGACGGTGCTGGTGGCGTTCTTGTTAGAGTTTTAAGGTATTTTTAAGAAAATGAAGAAATAAAAATTTCAAAAATCGAAATCTAGAAAAAAAAACCAAAAACAAAAAATTAGTATATCTTACAGCCCGCCCCATCTGTTCCCGGGAGCAAGAAGAGCAAGTGGGAGAGCCCAGAGGGGGGTCATTTGGGTGTCCTCTCGCTTGCTTTCGTCAAAACTCATCATCTGCGTTCCCGAGGAGGCAAGACGAAGAAAAAAAAAAGGAGAGAATGTTTTTAAATTTTGCTGCCGTTCCCTTCAGAATCCTCCGATATCCCGGGAGGGCAGAGGAGAAGAGTACAACAGAAATATGTATATGCAATCGGGGGACCCCGCCCGGAATACCCAAAGGTGTAATATGAAGAAGAGAGGAAAAGATGGGTCGAGGGGGGTCGGGGGGAATTTCGGAAAATTGAAATTCAAAGAGATATATTATGCAAGATAGTGGATCACTAGAGGACTCCTGCCACCTGTGATCACTAAATTTCATGAGATCAAGAGTCTTGGGCATTCCCAGAGACCAAGAATAGCAGTTGGCAAAGTAGCTGAGCTTCACAACCGAAAAAAGTACTGTCAACTTTGAGCCCATATATCTCAGTGCCTGTGAAATATATCAAAAAGTGGTCAACTGATAAAACATTGCTGACATTACGAAAAACATTTTATCAGTTTATTGCTTTTTTAAATCATTTACAGGAACCCAGATAAACAGAATTAAAGGAGCATGGAAAAAAGAATTGAGAGAAACATGAAGGGAAAAAAGTGCTCTTTGCACCATGGCTCTTGAGTTTGAGCCGATTTATCTCGGTTCTTGTAAAAGGTATAAAAAAGTTATCAACTGATAAAATGTTTATCAGAATACAGAAACATTTTATCAGTTGACCATTTGTTGTGATCTTCTACAGGAATTGAGATAAATTGGCTTAAAGTTAGCTGGCTAGAGTCAACGGCATTTTGAGGCGAAAACTTTGGGGATTTTTCGAATTTACAGTGCGCATTTTGGCTAGTAAGATTGGTCTGAAAATCTTTAAAAATCTGTATAGACCTCACTTTTTTACTGAATTTCAGGGGTTTCAATGAATTTTCAGCCATTTCCAGGATCAAAACGATGGTAAAATCAAAAATGTGGCAATTTGGAGACCTAAAAATGTTCAAAACTCCCTGAAACGCCCCAGTTTAAAACAACGGAAATGTTTGAGAAGCTAACAATAGAAAATTCGAAAAAAAAATAGTTTACTGTAAACTTTGAGCTCATATATCTCGGTTACTGTAAAAGATACCAAAAAGTACTCAATTAACAAAATGTTAAGCATATTATCAGCTACATTTTATCAGTTAACCACTTTTTGATATCTTTCACAGGGACTGAGATACATAGGCTTAAAATAGACGGTTTGGGAGC